CGGAGCCCAGCAGGAAGAAGCAGCCTGCAGAGGCTTCGGAATCCGATAGCGGCGGCCGTGGCCACAAGAGAACCCCGAGCCGCGGTGGCCGCAGCCACAAGAGAAGAAGCCGAAAGAAAAGCCGGGGCCGCAGCCGCCGCAGGCGCAGCGTGAAACGGAGCCGCAGTCGGCGCAGCCGGCGCAGCCGCAGCCGAAACAAAAGAGCACGAAAAGAAGAGAAGGACAAGAAGCAGCGGCGCCGCCAGGAAAACAAAGAAGACCAGACTGACAAGTCGGTATGGGCGAAGTGGAAGAAGGAAAAAGCCGACAAGGCAGCGGCAGCGGCAGCGGCAGCGGCGGACGAGGAGCCTGAGGAGCCGGCGGAGCGGCCAGAGGTGGCAGCAGCCGCCCAGCGCCGGAGCAAGGACGGTCCCTGGGGCCCTTATCCTGGGGTGCCTGCGTTCTACATATCGCAGCTTCCCGTCCAGGACGTCCGTGGACAGGACGAAAGGGTTCGGTGCCCGGTGTGCTGGCAGACGAAGCCGCGCAATACACTGTATTTGCACATGGTCTCCAGCAGTGCTTGCTTGGCGTATCAAAAGGCCGACAAGCCGAGAAAGAACCACTGCTGCCGCTTTTGCGGCAAGGCCTTTTACCAACGATCGGACAAGGACCAGCATGAACAGGGCTGCGGCGCGCAGCCGCCAGCGGAGCCGTTGCAGCATCGCACGGAGCCGCGGGTGCACGCGCAGCCACCGCCGCCGCCGGCGCCGGCACCGGAACCCTTGCATCGCACGGAGCCGCGCGTGCGCCTGCGTAGCAGAACCACGGCCGAAATGGCAAGGGATCGCTTTATGGATAGCCGCAGCCGGGGCCGAACCCACAGCAGGCGGCACAGCGAGATGAGGACCGCCCCGCCAGCTCCAGTCGCCGCCGCGAAAGGCCCCGCAGCCGAACCCAGAGCAGGCACAGCGAGATCAGGACGGGCCCCGCCAGCTCCGGTCGCCGCCGCGAAAGGCCTCGCGAGGCGTCGCAGTCTGGCAAGCCAGAGACTGGGCCAGAGGCGCGATCAGCCCCGTCAGCCCCGAGAGCTCCAGCGGCAGCCCCGGAAGAGCTGCTCACAGCAGCGTCTGGTGGTGACGCTGCAAGAAAGCTCGGGGTCTACGAGAAGCTGATATCCTTGGGCGAGAAGCTCCTGTAGCCCGTTTCACTTGGTTTTGGCCGAGTTTTCACTTGGCTTTGGCAGAGTAGCGGCAGTGAGCTCGAGTGCTCGAGATTCATGGGTCGGTGAGCTCCCTGAAACAAGGTATGCATTCCCCTATACCTTGAGAAGGTACAGGGTGAGGATGTGTTTTGTCCGGGAGCCACCGTGCCAAGGATCTCAGCTTGGGCTTTGTGCAAAGGCGATTTCCCTCGCAGAAGGTTTGCAGTGCTGCCTAAAGATTGGATATCAGTTATAAGGTGAGACATGGTTAAAGATGTGTTGTGCTCGGGAAATGCCTGCCTGTTCTCACCGCAAGCAGATGCCTGGGTCACTTGACAACTTGAGAGAGCTCTTCGGAGTTGATCTTCAGAGCTGCGAGTTTGTCAGCTGCAAAAGTCTTGAGTTGATGCAACCTCCGCCTCGTTGAAAGCCGGTGTGTAGGAGTTGTTCAGCTGCTTGATGAGCCTTTGTTGTGCAGTTGTGCAAGCATGTCCCGTTTTAAGTAGCAGAGGCCTCCAATGATAAATCATGCTGGTGAATCACCACCAATGTGCTGCTAGAAGAGCAAAACTCTCGCGTGATAGGTTGCGACTCTTTCGTTCAACCATTAGGCCCTCAAATGTGCATAGAACACTGCACGCGCACAGAGACTCTCCTGCCATGTGCGAGCCGACTCTTACTTCGTATGATTCCTCAAGCCAAAGCCAGTATCCCGGTGTGTCGCACTGTCCTTGTCCCGCCGCATACCGCAGTGTCCAGCTGTGTCCCGCCGGTGTCCCGCTCGTGTCCCGCCCGTGTCCCGCCCGTGTC